GTAATAATTAGGGACCTACCTGTATTTAATTTTTCCTTTCGAGTAACTATTATATCTATGTAATTTCCATAACGCTCATTTCTTTCATCCGTTAAACACTCAACCAAACCATTAGAGTGCTAATGAAACTTCGTATTGCACGTTGCAAATTGCAAATTCAGCTCGCGGGCAAACAGCTTACTTAAATGTGAATAGGGGTGTAATTATCGTATCTCCACCCAACCCCAACCACTCCATGGTCAATAAATGCACGCTCACTTATCTTCAAGTAAATACTAGTCTTCGACTAATTAGGGCATCATGTCTAAGTACATGGCTGTATAATTACTTGGCTTGTAAGTAAGTACGTCAGAGAAAATAATTCTGGCAAATTCATGAATATATGCAAAACGCAGGATAAATTTGTACTACATTATACAGTGCCTTTCAAAAAGTCTTCATGCCTACTTTTTGAGTGCGTCAAGTTAGACAGTTGAAATTCGTAATGATGAAACTGATACATGAGTACTACGTTTGGCTTGAGGTGGCAGTCGAAACTTTCAAGATTGCGGCCGGGCTCTGTCTTGGAACATATTATTCTACAGATGGCATTTTCCGGGAATCGCGACATCGCTAGTTAAGTAACTATCGAACTTCATGAACATACAACAACCACAGATTCCTTTAAAGCTTGTAACAAATTAAGATAGCAAGTTTCGGTATGAGTACTGCGTTTATGATAGATAGATAATTATTATTGATCGCATTTCAGTAAATTAATACATGTAACAAGTCAAAAAAGGGAAAAAAGACTGATGTATAAGACATATTAAGAATTACAATTATAAAAAAGTAAGACCTTCACATGATAATGACACTTGATAATTTGTAAATTCCATTGATTAACACTTGTACATATTTGCGAACGCATCCTCAGAGCCCTATCTCTTTTATTCGTTTTCCTACTCTACCACTGACAGTTGATACATTTGTAGTGCGGCCAAGCTAATAACAGTACATATGAATAATATATATCAACACACAAATGTTTCTTATTTTAACACATAGTAGTTGAACTTAATAACTTTTATTTTTCAATTTAATTAAAAGAGTCCACATCGAGTGTAATACGACCAATCCAATCCTACCCTCATTTCAGCCTCACGACTTTTCGCTGAACAATTTGATAATATGGTAGCACTGGACGGTTCTGTGATTGGACAGCTGAGTTGACCAAAGGCAGTTCTGGTTTCAAATATAGTAAAGATTTTCCTGTGTTCTTTATTTCCCTCCAGAAACATACCTGTACATACGCTATATGCATACTGAAATACTTTTATTAAAAATATCATTAACACTTTGCATAAATATCGCGCACGCACAGAGGATGTTGTTTTAAATATATCATTTTTTCATAGTTCTCTCAGGTAAGTAATATACTGTTTTTTCAATAAAGTGCTTAGGACTTGATGCCTTGCAAATCCAGGCGTTACATCAGATTTGTTCTACGATTTTGGCAGGGATTAAAGGTTCCCCTACGATTGGCACTTTTTTGATGCAGTTTAACGAGAACGCTTTTTAATTGGTCATTATTGATCCGGATCACAGGTCTTGATCTCCCGATAAACTGAGAAAACATGTTTTTTTAGCTAAACCAGGTGTATTATAAAGAGTTTCTTGATCTAATATGATGGTTCTTACACAAATCGTATATTTCTTCTCTAAGTTGAAAGATATTTTAGAAAAAATAGACTATACTCATTAAATCCAGCATTAGAAAGGTGCATTTTTATTGGAACCATTATGATCCGGATAACAAAAATGTATCCCCTGTTAGTAAAATCCGGGGCCTAGCAGAAGTTACATTTCGCCTCCTAGGTAAATAATGATATTGTCCCATATGAATAAAAGTGAGCATATGCTTATACTTGCGAAATTAAAAGTAAATGCTTCAAGGGATATGAATAAAATTATAAGTAAATGCTTTTGCTTATAAGTAAGAAGCAAGTGCTCATGATATTGAAGGATTTGCTTCAGACGTATGAATAAAGCCAACCTGTTGCTCAAAAGTGCGAGTATTTACTTATGGAAAACTGATGCTGCTATTCAGTAGCATCAGAGCTGCTAGTGGTTCCGTACGTTTTTTGCACGGTTGTTTGGTTAAAAGTAAAAATGGCTGAAATGATGAATCTTCGAAATATGAAATACACCGCGAACTAGTGATTTTAAAAATATGTTCCGGTTTGAAGAGGAAAATGTGAAGTGGTTAGCCCAGAACTTTCTAGGCGAGAGTGTAGAAAGGCGTGGTGGTGCATTATCAGCTTTATACAGAATGAAAGTATGTTTAAGGTATTTGGCAAATCCAGGTTTCCAAAGCGGAATTGGCGAAGAGCTAGGCATTGAGCAATCCACTGTTTCTCGCACTGTGAGAGATGTGGTAAAAAAAATAACTTTACAGGCTAATCATTGGATTCAGTTTCCTAAAAGTCACCATCATATAATGAAAGCCAAAGAACTCTGGGCAAGCCGGTTTAGATTTCCGACTGCTATTGGAGCACTAGACTGCTCACATGTGAAAATAGAGAAACCCAACTTACATGGGGAAGAATACATAAACCGCAAAGGAGAAGTAACTTTGAACGTACAAGCTACGTGCAATGCAATGTACGTATTCACCAGCGTGGATGTGAGCTGGCCGGGTTCGGTACGTGACAGTCGAATCTGGAAAAATTCCGACGTGAGAGAAGTAATGCGACGTACACAGAACACCGTTCTCATTGCTGATCAGGGATACGGAATTGAACCTTGGCTTATGACTCCTTATCGAGAACCTGTCAACATAGACGTGAAGAAGGCATACAATAAACTATTGTCAAAGGAAAGGGTAGTAATCGAGCAGTGTTTTGGACAGATAAAACGGCGCTTTCCGATACTGAAATATTGTTGTCGCCTGAAATTGACTAATGTTCCAGATATAATTGTAGCTTGTATCAGTTTACACAACATTGCTAAGGCCTTGCAGGATCCAGATTTTGAGGGTAGTGATGAAGATGAAGGCGGCGCCGGCGATGTTGTTAGTGGGCATGAGGAAGAGAATGACGACTTACGTGTCCGCGGTCAGGAAGTGCGTGAAGTTTTAGCGAATATAATTCAAAATTATAACGCACCGTGATAAGTGATCTACTCGTATGTGTTTGTAATAAATTTGTATTGATCTTAAACTTGGAATAAAAATACATTGCAGAGTAATATAGTTTCTGTGATCCTCGAACCTACATATACATTACTAAAATCAACCATATGTCCCAGAAAAAAAACAGAGAAAGCATCCTTTATGACTGCTGTAAAAATTTCCCGCCCCTTCTCAGAACCCAGCCATCATAGGTTCGCTTACGTATTTCCGTTTTCGTGTACCATTTGCACGGCTTGCCTTTGCAATTTTCTCTCATAATACTCTCTTTGGACTCGGGCAGTCTGTAGCTGTTCTAGCAAAACTAACCGTTGCAGCTTTACGTTGGACAACTTTTCAGTTTGCTGTGTCTCGCCTGGCAGTGCAGTTGCTGCTCGCTGTCGACATGGAGGCAGTGGCAGAGGAGTAGCAGTCGTAGCTCTTTTTTCGGATTGATCCAAATTAGAAGAGGATGTATTGGGAGAGGATGTGCCATATGACCTTGCTCCTGCCATGAAAGAAAAAATTGATAAAGTAGACCTGACGACAACCATTGGCAGATCCAGGAGTGCTGGGGCACGGGGGCTTGAACCCACTATCTTATAATAAAGAACAAACAAGCAGCACTAAAATGCACGCTGAAGTTACATTTTAACATGTATCACAAATCACTTTGTATATAAAATACTTTCTTACAACAGAAATTTGTTAACCGGATAAAAATATTTTGATTCGGTTTCAACAAAAGACAATTTCTTTTTTTATTTAAATGAATCCGTAGCACTGATCTCTTTGAAGTTTGCCGTAGTCAAGACACTCAAAATACTAATATGTTCGTAAAAGTTACGAATCCCCCTTCCCCATTGAACAAAGCTGAATACGCCCCTGCACCATAATATATTTATTATTATCCACTCTTGTTCTTACCTGCTATTTTCGCCACACTTGGATTTGAGTCTCCATCCATGGCATCGTACAAGGTTTTTTCCCATGGAAAAAGTTTAACAGGCTTGTTACCGGTTTTTCTTACATCGGTCTTCTTCTTTAAGCGTGCCTTCATATTATTGACTTTCTTCATCAGATGTACGGTTGTTATGGACTGCCCCATAACACTTTCATATAATTCTAATATTTTTCTTACCGCATCCTCTTTCTTTTTCTTAGATGCAGGCGTCTGTGATTTACTAAGGATCTCGGGATATTTGCTGACCTGATTTGCTATATATCATTTTCACATGCAGCTTCATCTTCAGATGACGACATTTTTTACACTGGATAACCGTATGTGTCCAGCACGTCGCTACAACTGCGTAAACTGCAGGTCTAAACACGCAAAATTTCTAGCCCCCAATAATTTAGACATGAGCATTTACTCGTTTTCATGAAGCATTTGCTTGCAAGTATAAGGTAATCATTATTCATATTAAATGAAGCAAATGCTTTTACTTCTACCTTTTGCTCTGAGCATTTGCTTTTCCTTCTACCTTATGCTTATGAGCATTTACTTAATTTTTATTCATATGGCCCAAAAATAAGAAAATCTATATGTAGACAATGAATGTGTGTATCCATGTAGAGCTTTGTGGGCTCATAATTGTCGCCGCTTTAACCTTTGTTCGATGATACTTGAGAAATTGGAGTATTTGAAAATTAGCGGGAAATAAATAATGGGCCATATGAATAAAAATTAAGTAAATGCTCATAAGCATAAGGTAGAAGGAAAAGCAAATGCTCAGAGCAAAAGGTAGAAGTAAAAGCATTTGCTTCATTTAATATGAATAATGATTACCTTATACTTGCAAGCAAATGCTTCAAGAAAACGAGTAAATGCTCATGTCTGAAATATTGGGGGCTAGAAATTTTGCGTGTTTAGACCTGCAGTTTACGCAGTTGTAGCGACGTGCTGGACACATACGGTTATCCAGTGTAAAAAATGTCGTCATCTGAAGATGAAGCTGCATGTGAAAATGATAGTAAGGTGCAGGCGCTGGACTTTATAGCAAATCAGGTCAGCAAATATCCAGAGATCCTTAGTAAATCACAGACGCCTGCATCTAAGAAAAAGAAAGAGGATGCGGTAAGAAAAATATTAGAATTATATGAAAGTGTTATGGGGCAGTCCATAACAACCGTACAACTGATGAAGAAAGTCAATAATATGAAGGCACGCTTAAAGAAGAAGACCGATGTAAGAAAAACCGGTAACAAGCCTGTTAAACTTCTTCCATGGGAAAAAACCTTGTACGACGCCATGGATGGAGACTCAAATCCAAGTGTGGCGAAAATAGCAGGTAAGAACAAGAGTGGATAATAATAAATATATTATGGTGCAAAGGGCGTATTCAGCTTTGTTCAATGGGGAAGGGGGATTCGTAACTTTTACGAACATATTAGTATTTTGAGTGTCTTGACTACGGCAAACTTCAAAGAGATTAGTGCTACGGATTCATTTAAATAAAAAAAGAAATTGTCTTTTGTTGAAACCGAATCAAAATATTTTTATCCGGTTAACAAATTTCTGTTGTAAGAAAGTATTTTATATACAAAGTGATTTGTGATACATGTTAAAATGTAACTTCAGCGTGCATTTTAGTGCTGCTTGTTTGTTCTTTATTATAAGATAGTAGGTTCAAGCCCCCCGTGCCCCAGCACTCCTGGATCTGCCAATGGTTGTCGTCAGGTCTACTTTATCAATTTTTTCTTTCATGGCAGGAGCAAGATCATATGGCACGTCCTCACCCAATACATCCCCTTCTAATTTGGATCAATCCGAAAAAAGAGCTACGACTGCTACTCCTCTGCCAATGCCTCCACGTCGACAGCGAGCAGCAACTGCACCACCAGGCGAGACACAGGAAACTGAAAAGTTGTCCAACGTAGAGCTGCAACGGTTAGTTTTGCTAGAACAGCTACAGACTGCCCGAGTCCAAAGAGGGTATTATGAGAGAAAATTGCAAAGGGAAGCCGTGCAAATGGTACACGAAAACGGAAATACGTATGCGAACCTATGATGGCTGGGTTCTGAGAAGGGGCGGGAAATTTTTACAGCAGTCATAAAGGATGCTTTCTCTGTTTTTTTTTTCTGGGACATATGGTTGATTTTAGTAATGTATATGTAGGTTCGAGGATCACAGAAACTATATTACTCTGCAATGTATTTTTATTCCAAGTTTAAGATCAATACAAATTTATTACAAACACATACGAGTAGATCACTTATCACGGTGCGTTATAATTTTGAATTATATTCGCTAAAAATTCACGCACTTCCTGACCGCGGACACGTAAGTCGTCATTCTCTTCCTCATGCCCACTAACAACATCGTCGGCGCCGTCTTCATCTTCATCACTACCCTCAAAATCTGGATCCTGCAAGGCCTTAGCAATGTTGTGTAAAATGATACAAGCTACAATTATATCTAGAACATTAGTCAATTTCACGCGACAACAATATTTCAGTATCGGAAAGCGCCGTTTTATCTGTCCAAAACACTGCTCGATTACTACCCTTTCCTTTGACAATAGTTTATTGTATGCCTTCTTCACGTCTATGTTGACAGGTTCTCGATAAGGAGTCATAAGCCAAGGTTCAATTCCGTATCCCTGATCAGCAATGAGAACGGTGTTCTGTGTACGTCGCATTACTTCTCTCACGTCGGAATTTTTCCAGATTCGACTGTCATGTACCGAACCCGGCCAGCTCACATCCACGCTGGTGAATACGTACATTGCATTGCACGTAGCTTGTACGTTCAAAGTTACTTCTCCTTTGCGGTTTATGTATTCTTCCCCATGTAAGTTGGGTTTCTCTATTTTCACATGTGAGCAGTCTAGTGCTCCAATAGCAGTCGGAAATCTAAACCGGCTTGCCCAGAGTTCTTTGGCTTTCATTATATGATGGTGACTTTTAGGAAACTGAATCCAACGATTAGGCTGTAGAGTTATTTTTTTTACCACATCTCTCACAGTGCGAGAAACAGTGGATTGCTCAATGCCTAGCTCTTCGCCAATTCCGCTTTGGAAACCTGGATTTGCCAAATACCTTAAACATACTTTCATTCTGTGTAAAGCTGATAATGCACCACCACGCCTTTCTACACTCTCGCCTAGAAAGTTCTGGGCTAACCACTTCACATTTTCCTCTTCAAACCGGAACATACTTTTAAAATCACTAGTTCGCGGTGTACGCCGTGGTTTGTAGTATTTCATATTTCGAAGATTCATCATTTCAGCCATTTTTACTTTTAACCAAACAACCGTGCAAAAAAGTACGGAACCACTAGCAGCTCTGATGCTACTGAATAGCAGCATCAGTTTTCCATAAGTAAATACTCGCACTTTTGAGCAAAAGGTTGGCTTTATTCATACGTTTGAAGCAAATCCTTCAATATCATGAGCACTTGCTTCTTACTTATAAGCAAAAGCATTTACTTATAATTTTATTCATATCCCTTGAAGCATTTACTTTTAATTTCGCAAGTATAAGCATATGCTCACTTTTATTCATTTGGGACATTATCTCGACCTAGGTAGCATCTTATTTCTTTGTCAGACTTCGTCATGTACTAACATGCACCGTTCTGAAATCTACACATTTCGTGTGTTTTATTCGGATAGTGTTGTCGGACGTTCAAAAGGTTCTTCTCATATATGCTATTATTCCAAGGTCAAATAAAAATGAATGGTATACATCATCGTTACCAGTGAAAGAAATTCGTTAGTCAGGCTGATCAATTATGTAGATCATGAGCAAAAAGCGGAATGCAACTGGAACTCCAATCGTAAATGACAGCCGCGTCCGCCATCCGATTGCTGCGGGCTTAGCTATGAGCGCGTGCTTTTAATTGGCGGTAAAATCATTACCGCTACTATAGTGTCACACCCTGGGCATACATAACTGAGACAAGTAAGATGGAATGGGTTGAGCGTAGAAGTACTCGTAGCTCGTACATTGGCTTACTAGTCCGCTGATATTCTTTTTATCAGAAAATTCTGCCCAAGCTCGATCTATACCTACATAAAGCGACCGAAATTTGTATTACTATGCGTGCACCATTTTCAACACCAGATGTGTAACATATACGAGTATTTTGTTATTTATGGCTTGGTTACAAAATCCCAGCAAATATGCTCATTATAACTGTTACGCTGAAAAATAAATAAAGGTCATAATAAATTACCACATATTTTGAATTAATTTGCAAAATATATTTATGTCTATATTCCGCAGCTACTATAATTAATTTTTTATGATAAGCAGAGTGAAGAGTATATTTTTTATCTTTTCGCCTTTAACTCGTTGCTGTTACATGCATTTGGGCTCTGACGACTTTTAGAAATAAAATGCTTAAAGTAACTGCAGCTATTAAGCTGCAATTTCGTGAGAGGGTCAAGCATCAGTTATCGTATTTTAATGCCTATATGATTACAGGTTTTGGAAGAAATTCCTTTTTTTTTAAGCACAAATATTATCAGATTCTGTTAGAGGTGAGATAGTGTAAAGCCCTCGTAACTTGAACTCTGAGAACTACGCTCGTCGGAAACATTCGTGATGTGGTCTGTGCTTCAATGGAGACCCGAGTTGTATCTAAAAAATGAAATTAATCGATTCGAAGATAAATACGCTTTCCAAGAGCAGGCAGGCAGAGTCGATAGCAGCAGTGCTAATCATCATGGTTAGGAAAAAGTTGCGTTCTTTGGGCTGTACTTACAGGTACTTTGGGAAATTTGGCTAAATCATTTTTATTTTTTTCTGAGTAAGAAATATAAAAATACTAGTGAAGCCTTTCCATTGGCACTTTTCAGACAATAGATAAAGGTGTTTTTGAGTTCTATACCCGAGGGTTCGCTTTTGAGAAACCGTTATCAACTTGATTTTTTATATGATCCGGAAAGAGTACACATTGTATCTAATAGCATTTTTCATAGGAATTCAGTGATGTATTACATCTTAAATTTATTTTCTTGGTTATAAGGAAAAATGCGTTTCTTCTGATTCTTTGTTTTTTTTTAAGTAGGCGTTGCAAACAAATGCTTGACTTGACATAGATACCTGTCACCGAGGAATGTTGTTATTGCGTATTGTTAACATTGCTTTATTCGGAGGTGCCATGTGGCGATTTTAGTAATGAAAAAAAAGTTCGACATGTTAACGTGTACATTTCGTGCTACAAAAATACTAAACAAACTGCAGAAACGTATCTTGATAAATTTCCCGAAAAAGGATAGCCAAATTTTGTTTTTTTTCGAACACTCATAAGCCATGAAATATTCACAAGTTTCCCAACATCGTGTAAATACACCCCAAAGAACGCAGCTTTGCTGTAATAAATTGCAAATCATAGATTTTTACATTTTTGTGTACCGGAAAATGCATAACTGTAAATCTGAAATACTAGTTGAATGTTGAATCGTTTGTGCTGTTCAGAATAAAAAAAAATAATTGCTACTAATTTTTTTTCAGAAATATTGCCTTTTTGAGAAGTTGTCCAGCGACTTCGGATCAATCAAATGGCATCATATTGGTCTTATCCTCATGCTAGAGGCAGCCTAATACCTTGTTAGGAGAGATACTAAGTTTTATTATACTAACCATGTGAAAAACGTCACCAATCTATCTATCCACCTAACACATCTCATCTAGCGAGAGAATGAGCCCAATGTGGGATATCTGATTAATCCAAAGTCGCTGGATAGCTCGTCGAAAAAGGCCATTTTTTCTTAAACAAATTACTATCAACTAGGAAATTGCAGAAGCTGTTGGGCATTTTTGATCGAAAACTTTTATGAATGTTAGGCACTACAAAGGCTTCAACTTTTTCCTATTATTTCAGACTTACCGTCATGCACTTTTCAGTAAAAAATAAATGTAGAAATCGACGACTCGTAACATTTTTATGTGTTGACAAATGTTGTATAAGGTCTAATTTAGAAAACATTTTCATCCACTACATATTTTTTTTTTGGACCACCTACACCAATTATTTATAACTATTCGAATATACGCGAAACATTGATATTTTCAACTTTGTCGTTTAATAAAAAAGAATATAATTTCTATATTTCAAAAATCGACCGAGGAAAAAGCTATCTGAGACTTAGCCCAACGAACCATCTCCAGAATTTTCGCCCCATGGTTTGGAAGCCCCCTCCATAGTTAATGTTCTCCATGCTTTATTACATTAGCTTTTCATTCTTTTAACAAGTCTATTTGATCCATATTAATGAAGAAGTTGACCCCAGGTGAGCCGTTTTCTAGTTATAAATTATGTACTCACTCATTGTACGTAAATAACTAATGCTTAACTAAAACTATGTACGTACTTCGCGGCGCGGGTGAGTTCACCTTCAAAAGGAGAAGCTATATTAATATTTAAGCACCCAGAATGATTGTTATAGAATCTTTACTGAAAATCTGTAATAATTTCCCTGCTGGGAGAATACTTATTTTGGGTCTTGCATAGCACTGAAGGAATACGGCATGAAACATTTGATATATATATATATATATATATATATATATATATTCTTATCGGGGTGTGCACGGTTCCTGGTCTAGCGCCATTTTGAAGAATTTGTAGAAAATAGCTACTATTCTAAATATTTTTTTCTAAACCTGTTTTTTATGTAAATATTGTATCATTGACAAAAAGCTCTAATGGAAAAATCATTCCACTTAATGTAGGTAAACCAATCGGCTCAGTCGAGATATTAGACTATATTCAAGTAAGCATGTTTGTAAAACCACAGAAATCTATCGACTTCTCTTGATATCGTATAAAAAATGGAAGATGGTGAGTACAGCTTTACGAGCTGTTATCCATATCCAAAATGTCTGAAACATATAAGATCTGTTTCTATGTGCTCCAGATACTAGCACTCTAAATTGTCCATAGCGATGAGTTACAGAGTGGGTTACGCTATTTTTACCGTACTACTATATGTAACTTTTTTCGGGCCTATCATGTTCATATTATTTTTCAAAGAAGGTTTTGGTAAGACTGGTAGTCATTACCTACTATAAACATAGGCATAATAATTAAGTAGTAAAGTCTGGGTATTGTTCGAGATACTTTTGTCCTTACTCATCAA